TTTTTTTTCACTTAAACATTTTTATGATGATTTAGTTGGAAGTTGTACTTTGTCAGTTAATTTTGGTTCCAGTCCTTCAGTTAGCTGTTCATGTCTACTTTATAACATTCACTATACTAAACTCTTCTTCAAGATGGGGTGGGGATGGAAATGCAGTTTAGCCATGTCCTCAAGATAAAGTCTTGGTAAAAATAAATAAATGTCCTTTAGTTATATTTTCTCCTTGAGTGATTGTTTGTGTGTGTGTCTTTGAACATTGAATTTTCTTGCAAAGCATTTTTTCATTTTAGGTTTAAAAATCAATAGGCTGCTACACCAAGAATTTGAAGAAAGTTTAAGTAATGTGTAACATATTTTGCTGTGATTTATGTGAAGCTAATATACTTTTATATCACTTTTTCCAGCATAATTAAATGAATCTTAATTATAGCTCCAAGGTTTGTACCCACTATTGATGCAAACATTATAAATTACTTTCTAGTGATATAGTTTGTGTGCAGTAGTAACAGACAGATTAACTTCTTAGCATTGATCAAATCAAGTACTTTTTTTTTTTTTTTTTTTGAGACAGAGTCTTACTCTGTGGCCCAGGCTGGAGTGCAGTGGCACAATCTCGGCTCATTGCAACCTCCGCCTCCCAGGTTCTTCTAATTCTCCTACCTCAGCCTCCCAAGTAGCTGGGACTACAGGCGCATGCCACCACACGCTGCTAATTTTTTTGCGTATTTTAATAGAAATGGGGTTTCACCATGTTGTCCAGGCTGGTCTCAAACTCCTGAGATCAGGCAGTCCACCTGCCTCAGCCTCTCAAAGAGCTGGGATTACAGGTGTGAGCCACCGCGCCTGGCCATCCAAATCAGTAACTCTTTCTAGGAGTTCTTTGTACCCTTTTCAGAGCCTTCAGTTGAATACTAATTACCTATAAGGGCAAGGGAAAGACCACAAAAAAAGTATAAGATAGTCTTGTCTCTTTGGTTTTTAGTTTTTGTTTTTTGAGACAGTCTCACTCTGTCACCCAGGCTGGGGTGTACTTCCAATCATGTCAATCATGTACTTTAAATCAGCAAGTATATGAGCACTCTCTGATTCTGGTATTATCACATTACCAACAGCCAGTGATATCTTGACACAGCCTAAGATTGAAAGTGTTTTTGGCAGGCTCATGATTGGTCTAATATCCCCTGTTCCTGCCCCTACTTGGACATTAGGGCCTTAAGTATTTTTTTGTTGTTTTATGCAAGACAAAATTCTACCGAGAACATACTCATATGTGCTCAGTTTTTCCATAGAATAATCCTGTTAATGGAATATTATCACTGTACCAATAGATTATTAAAATTTTAGGGTACCTGACTAAATTAAGTGTAGTTGTACTTAATGTTTCACTGTGAAACCAACCAAATTTTAAAGCTAAAATAGGCCAGGCACAGTGGCTCATGCCTGTAATCCCAGTACTTTGGGAGGTTGAGGCAGGCAGATTACTTGAGGTCAGGAGTTCAAGATCAGCCTGACCAACATGGTGAAACTCTTAACTCCACTAAAAATGCAAAGCTTAGTCTGGCATGGTGGCATATGTTTGTACTATCCCAGCTACTTAGTAGGCTGAGGCAGGAGGATCCCTTGAACCAGGGAAGCAGAGGTTGCAGTGAGTAAGCTGGGATGGCACCACTGCACTCCAGCCTGGGTGACAGAATGAGAATCTATTTCAAAAAATAAATAAATAAACAAAGCTAAAATAATCTCACAGAAAAAAAAAAAAAAAGATCCAAAAGTAATCTGACTGTCCTGTCTTTCATTTGACCTGTCCTGCTAAAGTAGTTTTATTTCTTTAACAAATATAGAGGATCTTTCGCTTCATCTTTTGTTTTGTTTTGTTTTGTTTTGTTTTGTTTTGTTTTGTTTTTGGAAAAATACTGTAGAGCAGATGTAAAGGGAATGGAATGTAGTACCATTTCTGGTGTTGGGCTTACAGAGGAAAATATGAGAAAGGAATGCGAGAAAGTATCTGGATCCTAGATGTCGGGCGATGAGAACAAAAACAAGTGGAGCCGTGTTTGGAATCATTAGAAGCTTTAAGGAAGAATAGAACTGGAATAAATACAGAGAAAAAGACATTTGTCTATGTCCCGTAATACACAGAAAAAGAGTCTAAAATACGCTTTTTGTGAAGGTGAAATGTGCAATGAAAGTTTCGGTGGTTTGGCCTAGCTACAACCACTGGCCTTGTGTTAGAGATTTAGAGTATTGACTGATTGGCCTTTCCCCAACCACAAGTAAAACAGGTTTGATTTCTGCTTATTAAATGATAGTTTATACTGCTACCTACGGATGAAACCTACCAGACAGATTATAAAATTCCTGCTTCTCTAATGTACCTTTTATATACCCGAAAATTTCTAAAATATTTCTTGATGATGGCCATTTCTGTCCTTTAGTGCTTGATTTAAGAGGTCCCAGGAGTATAAAAGGGAGAGTTCAACAATCTCACTTCACCTCTAGTTCTCTGGCTTAAAATATTTCCAGCAACTTACTAAATGCTCAAACGAGTATGTATCTTAACTCCCATTGTTTGGGATAGAAGTAGTAGTGAACTGTTTTACTTTCAGCAAGAGAATGACTTAAGGGATGAGCAAACAATTTTGTACTGTCTTAAAAGCAGACCAGACTGGGTTGGGGGGAAGAGGACAAGGTAGTTTTCTCAGTATGATGTCAACTTGACATCAGGATGGTTCTCCTTTATCAAATTGTTTTAACTAATCATTTGAAGGTTGGAATGAAAATCAGGATTAATACATAAATTGTTTAATAAATGTTACTGTATTTGTAGGAATATTTCTATGTTTATGTTAATTTAATTAATTTTACTCTGTCACCCAGGCTGTAGTGGAGTGGTATAAATCACAGCTCACTGCAGCACAACCTCCCAGGCTCAGGTAATCCACCTTAGCCTCCTATGTAGCTGGGATTACAGATGCTCGCCACCGTGGCCAGCTAATTTTTTAAATTATTTTTTGTAGAGATGGGGTCTCCTTATGTTGCCCAGGCTGGTCTTGAGATCCTGGACTCAAGTGATCCACCCGTCTTGGCTTCCCAAAGTGTTGGGGTTACAGCCATGAGCCACTGCACCCAACCTAGGGATATTTCTTAAAGAAGAAATATTAATTTATATGTTAGCATAATGATACTAGTATTGCCACTTAGACATAGCATTTTGCTGCCTAGGAAATATTTCTACATCTTTCTCATTATAGCAACCCTTTGAGATAGGAAACAATTATATCTCTATTAATGGTTTTTAAAAAATTAGATTGCCTAAGTGATTCACCCAGATCACAAAGCAATACCAAAATTGTGCTAGATGAAAAAGACAAAGTTTTAACCTCAAAGATCCTGAAGGGGAGCCCCATAAAATGAATAGCTATGCTAAATAGTGGATCCGTAATTCTTGTCAAAGGGACCTTTTTAGACTCAATCAAATATTTGGTTTCACTAGACCTGAAGAGGTCACACTTGGCACCAATTTAGTTAAAAGCACATGGGACACAGAAAACAGCTTGCCAGCCCAGCATCATCAAGTGTTTCTCTTCTGTGGGAGTAGTCCTCTGGTGGTTCACACAGCCATCCAAGAATTATCCTCTGAACACAAGGAAACACACAATAGCTCAGATACAAGAGATAAGAGTAAGTGTAAGAGCTACCCTGACCTAGAAGCTTCATGTATAACAGGAGCCACTATCTCTTGTAATAGCTTCATGAACATAGTTTCTGGGTCCCTGCAAGGAATATGCCCCATTTACAGAGTCATTTTATTCAGAGAAACACAAGGCCATGTCTACCCATCAGGTATACTGTTTCTCCCAGTCTAGGTGTAATTTACCACATAGGGGCCATGTTTCTCATAAGCAATCTTATCTAGTAATACATTGCACCATTATGTTTCCTCAGGAACAGAGCTGTGAAGTTAACCCGAGTTGACCTTGGGTCAGTGTAGTACATAGTGGTGCAATGTATTACTAGACCAGGTTGCTTATGAGAAGCATGGCCCCTAAGTGGTTACCTTGGGTTAACTTTCTAGCTCTGTTCCTGAGGAAACATAACGGTGCAATGTATTACTAAACAGACTGATGGAATGATTAACCTCAGAAGAAAAAGTGACCTGGAGAGTTGAAAGGGTTTGTGTTTAATGGTCTTAACCCATTAAACAGGTAAAACAAGTTATTATCTTGGAGGAAAGGAGGCTGGGCATAGAATGGGGAGTCAGAAGAACAATTCTCAGAGCTCATACAGGGTCGGGAAACATACAAGTTCTGACCAGTAGTCCTGTGTCACCAACTAAGGATTCATTGGAGCGTCCAAAAGAAGTCTCATACTTTTTTAATAAGACCAATAATGGTCTCTTAAATGAGGCTACTATAGACTTACCATAGCAAAGTTTAAAAATGGATCTTAGGCCAGGTGCGGTGGCTCACACTTGTAATCCCAGCACTTCGGGAAGCTGAGGCAGGTGGATGATTTGAGGTCAGGAGTTCGAGACCAGCCTGGCCAACATGGTGAAACCCCTTCTCTACTAAAAATATAAAAATTAGCCGAGTGTGGTGGTGGGTGCCTGTAGTCCCAGCTACTCAGGAGGCTGAGGCAGGAGAATATCTTGAACTCGGGAGGCTGAAGTTCTAGTGAGCCGAGATTGTGCCATTACACTCCAGCCTGGGTGACAGAGCAAGACTCTGTCTTAAAAAACAAAAACAAAAATGACTTGAATCAAGTTGTATGCCAAAATAAAGTTTAACATTCAAAGGAAGGTAATAGCCAAACACTGAATTAAGTAATATCCCCAGTTCAGCATTTAAATTATTAGACATGCAAAGAAATAGGAAAATATGACTCATAACCAGAGACTAAAATCAATCAATAAAAGCTAACCCCTAAATGACAGAGACAGTGGAACTACCAAGGACATTAAAATGG